AATTCAGCTATGACGAATCTAAAAACCCTCCAAATTGTATAAATTATCTAATTAAAAATTTTAGATTGATGCCTTAAAAAAGCCTATGAAATACATCATCTAATTCAGAATTGCCTAAAGTCCAAGAATATATCGCTCATTTAGTCTAGGTACTACTAAGACCAGCATTGTCCAAAAATTGTCTTTTCGAGAAAAGTAGCTTTGACTGTTTAATGAAATTTTACTATTTTTAAAACAAAACAAAGGAAAATTAAACCAGATTCAGATAGCAGAGTTTAATATGTTTCTCATCTAAAATGAAATTTAATTTTTATTTATCAACTATTCGTGAAAACATGACTAAAAAACTAAAACAGTTTTGTATTTTTTTGGATTTTATTTTGTAGTAAATGAGCGTAGTGACAAACTTAGGTACATATATGTATACATATAACAAGGAAGAAAAACTTAGGTGATGCAATTTTCCACCAACTTCTTTTTTGAAATATTCAATACTAAATATCAGTAAACTCATTCTAATAACATTTTAAACAGGGATCGAAAATAATTCTTATTTTCTTCTTTCGAAAGAAAAAGTAACGCAAAAATCCCTTTATCTTATTTAGGGATTTTATACCATTATTATAAGATTTATGTAATTTAGGTTACTGTAACCAATTAACATGAGAAATATTTTTTTTTGGTTATGAATAACTGTTATTTAGCAACAAATATATACATAGAATGTGCGTCTCATATAAGATACATTTTCAATAGTGGGTCGTGATACATAAAGAATACATGTAAATCATAACTGCCTGCACGTTGAGATGCGTATTCTTGTAATAAATATTCTTCGGTTATAGATAACCAAAATGTATTTAATTTATTTTTTTTTTTTTTTTTTGTTCAATTAAATATGAACGGAATTAAAAAGCAAAGTAATTTAAATAATATTTTATTTATAAAATGAATAGACATTTGATGCAAATCTGGCTGTTTATTTATTTATTTACTTTGCCAAAGATAATTATAACACTTATTTTAAATCCATCACTATTAATTGTTAAATGATACCTTTTCGTAATTTTTCTTATAAAGTTTACGTCCCTGATTTTAAATAAAAAATTCGCCTGGACTGTCACGGACACTTTTGGAGGAAATGAGCGTATTTGTATTATCTATATGTCCTTTTTTGGACGATTTTCATATTTTCTTTAAAAATATAAGAAATTTGAACATAAATAAACAAGATGCTAAGGCGACTTTTTTCAAGCTAATTTCAATATTTTACGAAGGAGACATCTTTTAGCGTTTTCTTTCTTTTTTCTCGGTTTGATCTAATTCAACACATTGATAATATAAAAGGACAACAACAAGAAACAACCGCATGGTAGCAGCATATGTTTCCTTTTCTCTGTTGTATTTTTTTATTGATAAAAGAACAATAATTTAACCACTTTTTGTGGTGCCTTGGAAAACGCATATAACCCCTTTCTTAATACCGTGAATACTTTTTGTAGTATATACATATACATACATATGTATGTATGTATTTGTATTTATACACAAAAATGTACGTACGAACATTAGACTGGCTCCTTTAGACATCCTTTATGATGTGGATGTCATGGCAGTCGATGTTTGAAATCTATGAATTAAAAAGCATGTAAATCTTAAATAAATGGCCTTTAAACATTGCACCAAAATTCTGAAAATAGCCAATCATTTTATTAAAATCTCACAACTAATCGGATGGGATACATATTAGTCGGACCAAAGCTTTTTAAAACAAACTATTTACCAAATTTTATTTCAGTTATAAACATTGACAGCTTACTTTCTCCACATACACGGGTTAAACACCCTAATGTTTCCCTATACACATATGACTAAAAAATCACGTGCATCTACAAAATAATTTCGCTGTGTAATAGCAACTACTGGCATTATCAGCTATGACTGAATACATAAATTACTTTATTGTCTTTTGTTTCAACATCTGCCAAGGGGTTATTAATGGATTAAGTCCAGTGATTTCTTCGATTTCTTCAGTTTGCTTGAAAAAACCTCCCAATTTAGTTTTTGCTTTAATCTTCAGTGATGTTTAATAGCGACCCTAAGGAAATTGTGAGTAAATGTAATTAATTTTTCGACCAGGTGTGTACGTACACTTTGGCACGTACATGCATACATACATAGATATGTATGTGTGATTTTGCGAATTACCCTACAGTACGAAAAGTGCCAATTTGCACCTTTCACTAGTTAGTTATATTACCGCATTTCCAACTTCTTGTAAATAAAGTGGTCGATATTTTGTCTAAACGTTCACTACATTTCACCATTCTAATCAGTAGTTCACATTTGATAAATTTTCACATGAAGTTTATGAAAATAAATTCTAAATAAATTAAATGCTTTAAAAATGTCACTTTGATAGCCACATGTAGTGCTTAAAATAATTACATGGTACGTTACTGACGAAATGTAATGCTGAAAGTATCCCTTTGCATTTAATGGCGCAGAAAATACAAAAAATGTTACAAAAATTACATGCTCTTCATAACAAAAATTAGAGCTTCGAACGAACAAGAGATCAATAGCTCAGTAGTAAGAGCTTCCAACTACAAATCGATAGACACCAAGTTATTATACATAAGGTGTCAATCGGCCTCTCGCAATGACATTCCCATGTTAATTCAACAGTAAATAACATTGCTAGTGGGTTGAAAATTCACTAGTTGTAGTTCTTAGTGGCTATTGATATCGTTGTTGTCGAACTAGTTCGTCGTACTGCAGGGAAAGTACAAACATTGTAAATCAATCACTAGCAAAAGTAATCTGTTAAGAAGTAAGCAATGTTTTTTTTCTTCATGTTGTTGTTGCTTATATTTTTCTTGTTTGATTCTTTTGTTTTTGTGTTATTTTGCCGGATTTTGTCTTTCTTTTCAGTTCAATTCAGTTCAGCTCGGTATTTTTTAACTCTTATGGGTGCTGGTGCATGTGGCTCATAATAATAGCTGCTTCATGTTGTACGAGTAACGTATGTATGAAAGTTCCACGCTGTTGCTACCTTCAAAACCTTTTTCGCAGAATTCTTTTGTTGAGTATTTTTGTTTTGCTTTTTTTATTTTAATTTACTTCGATTGTTTTATTTTTCATATATTTTTCTGCGTTTATCACTTTTTTCGGCATTGTCTATTGTTATTGAATAAAACAGAGATTGTAGTTACTGATCGCAAAGGATGTACAGAATTTATTCTGCAGCGTTGAAAACAATTTAATGATTTGTATGTTTGTTTTTATATAACGCTCATTTACTACAAGACTGGCATAATTCAAAATTCGGGTTTCTCGTAATAAAGACTTTCATATAATTTTATATATTTAAAAAATCGCAGTAAAAAATTTTATTAGTTATTTCATACATTATTTGGTAATCAGTTGACATATGATTTTGAGACCATTTTGTAGATTGATTTATACTTTTATTGAGAAGCCATTACAAATAGCACAATAAAATGAATTGTAAATGAAGCATTTCAACTGTACAGCAGGGTTTAAATGTGGGAAAATCGGGAAAGCATATTTGAAACGAGTTATGCACATTTTGGAAATCGTCACTCAAACATAAGTAATTATTCACACAAAATGTGACTTGCATGCTTATTGGGTAAGTGAAGTGTTTGCTGAGTTTATATTATTTTCTGCGTAAGACAGATTTTTTTAAACGTAAAAACTTAAATTCGTGTTTTATTTTAAAACTAAATATTAAGTTTATATTCAAATGAGAAACATATTATGCGATTTAAAACAGTTGTAAAGTTTTTAAGAAATAGTACAATCGTATATATACACAAATAAAAATATGAATAAATATAAATTGTATTATCCAGAGAGGGTGCCGGTATTTAGGATTGCCTTTCCGATCATGACACCCTTTTTTTTCTTAAATGGGACCAAGTTTTTAAAACGAATAGTGCAGCATTTATATATTTCATCCTAATTGCAATGCTAACATTGAAAACAAAAAAACAGTACAAAAGGGTCATTAATTATTTATGAATGTGTAATTTTAAATTTAGGGGATTCAGGCGGTAGTCATAAAGTCATATATCATAAAATAACAACATATGGCTGCTGTGCGTATCCCTAAGTTAGTGTCCTATTACAAATTTGAGTCAGCTGATAAAAGAACAATACGATTATAAAAAAATGTTAATGTTGTGTCGGTAGCAGCACCAATCTTATCCCAAATTATAGAGTATATCAGTTTTTTAACCAATATTCTCTTCCCCTATAGTTTGGGTTTAAACTACAGCCACCACGATCACCCCGAAAGGACATCAGCAATAACCGGTACAATAAAAGACCAATAAACCTTGTCAAATAATTAAAATTTAAACATTTTTTACATTATTTTTATTTAAAAAAATTGTTCCTAGTATTTAAAAAGCCAATAATTCTAAAAAAATACTTTGTAGCTGAATTTTTCCACCTCCGTAGTTAAAGGTTAAATAAAAAATTATACAATACATATGTATGTATGTCTGTAGTTTGCTATTTAAATGTGGTGTGGGATACACAAAATTGGCCGAATTTCTAATAACTAACAGTGTAGTTTGAATTTTATAAACTCGAAAATCGAATTTTCTCCTTGGAAATAGAAGCGAGGCATGGTTCAACAACTTATTTGAACTAAAATTATATCAAATCTTTAACAATAAAAGTCGTGAGTTGACAAAAATGTCGATTTTCAGCACAAACACTAGCAAAGGAGCGCAAAACAGACCCAATGAAGACATAGGGCCAACATCTCAACCTCTGGTTATCAAAAACAAAATCATTTAAATCGGTCCAGAATTTTGGCTTTAATTAATTTTGGCAAATAAATTTAACATTTCTAATAGTGCAATGTTACTAAAAAATTTACTAAAAACAATAAGAATCCTGTTTTCCTATCGGAAACTATAATGTGCTACGTTATTCAGTATATTATTCCTTTAAGTCCAACTTACCAGAAAATGTGATTATATTAATGGAGCTTTTCCGCATGCATTTTTGCATTTAGTAACTGCAAGAACAAGAAAAAATTAATATCAATTACAAAGCTTTAAAAGTTGTAGTTTTACTAATGATGAAATCGAAGGTCCAAAGTTTAATAAAAATGTTTTATTTGTAAAAATAAGTTAATTTTGGTCGGCCGTATAATGTGGAACCCGATTCAACCCAATTAGTTTGAAATACAAAAGAGCAGTAAATATTAACCCCTCGATGACAAGATAATATTTATAAAGGCAAATTTATCTAGTGTACCTGAGTGGTTGGATGTACATACATACATACATACATATGTGTATAACAAATAAAATAACCATCTTATACACACCTCAGTAATCGCTTTAAACATAAACAAGGTGTTAAAAGTATTTAAAATGCGCACAACAAGAAGAAATGTGTTTTAAAAATCGACACAAACTAATTATTAATTAGCAACGTGATGTGGTGTACGTTTTGAGTTTTATTTATTTTTTAACTTTTATGAAAATTTTCCCAAAAAAACGTAAATGAGACACATCTACATGTATGGTGTTTACATTAGGTTGGTACTATTTGGAAGTGATTAGCTCTATCAATATAAAAAATAAACATTCAGTACACAACGTTTCCCATATACAAAGTTGCAATCAGATATATGTAATTTAAAATCAGAATGAAAGAAGTACATTTTGTAGTAATTTAGATTGTAGAAACACCTCTTTTTGGTGCTTCCTAGTGTTTGTATGTCTGCCTGAGTCTATAAAATAACGAAATTAGAAAATTAAACACTCTGTTATTAGTGTCGTTAATTTTGATGTATCGATTATTCGATTTCTTGATGATCACGACAATTTTTATGCATCATTGTTAATTGATGACAAGACTTTAAAAAATAAATTATTTGCTATATGTAGTTCATTTTAACTTTTCTAGTTATTTAAATGTGTAATCTAATTACCATATATGATTTAATTTGCTCAATAGATTTGAAATTATACAGATTTTCAGAGCCGAAATTATGAGCGTTATTAAAAAAATGACATTGAAAATATTTTTGGTGAGAGCGATTAAACAAAAACAAATTACCTTTCTATGACTTGTGGCACTTCAATACATAAGGTTTTAACTACAATTCAAATCAGATTTTCTAAAAACATGAATAATTTCTTATCGGCCGCCAATACTTAATATAAGAAATTAAATGAATATTAGTGGTACTAAATTATATGGAGCTAACTAATGATTTTATATACATACATATTTTAAAGTTTTATTGGTGTCTTTAACTCTTTCACTTCTTTCATCATAACGTCTACCAAATGTTTAATCAATTAAATTCAATTATTTTCTTTAATTCTAAATGAACGGTACACAAAATAATATAATAAATAAATCGAAATTCGAAAGAAGTTCTATAATTTTTTTGCCTTCAAACAAAAAAAAAAAAAAAAAAATATTGAAACTGTCAACATTTATGGAGAAAAATTGATTTGATTTTATTGTAGCGGCCCATTCGTTTGAGTTATTGAAACTTCACCAACAGCTACAACAACATCAAGCCTACAAAAAAAAATACAAAGAATATGTCTAAACAGGGAGACAAAACAAAAAACATCATAAATCAGCATAGAAATCAGAAATCAAGACACAATTAAAAGACACAAGATTCAACCGCTAAAAAATACTACATATACTCTAGCAAAAAATAAATTTTTATTTTTTTCACGTACACACACACATATTGTTAAATTCCCTACACCTTACCACTACTACATACACACAACTCAATGTCCCAATTGGCAAATGATATAAGTGTTATTGATGATGGAGGAGAACTAGGGCGGTTAGACTAGAACTATGGCGGTAAACCACTAGGATTGAATCTACCTACACAATATATAATATTACTTAATTAGTACTCTGCAAAAATTATTTAAGTACATGATCTATTTAAATAATCCCAAAACTACTCAACAGCAGCGTTAGTGGAGAACATGCTCTGTTTATGCTTCCATGGTGTTAATGTTTCTTGGTTCGTGTACTTCTATAATTTTAGCAAGGGAGTAGTTTTGGGATTAGTAATGCATGTGTAATTTTGGACCAGTCCTTTTCGGGGTATTATTCTTTACACGTGTGTGCGGAGTAGTCTTATTATTTAATAGCCATTCAGTAATAAACAGATCTGTTTTTCTGGTAGTCGAAAATGGCTCCATTTGGTCATTTTGTATTATGGGTCATGAACATAATAGCTAGACTTTTCGATAAAATTGGAAACTAATATTTGAAAATAGTTTTTAACTGCTCTATTTTGGTATTTTATGTGACTACTGATGGTGAGTTAAATTTGACCAAAGAAATATATAGTGTGAATAGCAGATAAATAGCAGACAGATAAATAATTGCCCTTTTTACTTATTGATGCTAAAATACTAACAAAAAATGTTTACGTAATTTTCAAAACTCAACCTATTATAGTTTCCAGACACCCACTGGCATTTTATTGTTTTTTATTTGTTTTTAAGATTAGGTATTATAATTTACAAGATATACCATTATTCATATTTGCTAGATTAGACAGTGACTCTTATGAAAATAATAAGGTGATATTTAAATAATTTCTCATCTTACTTAACGATTGAACATTTGCCAATTGGGTTTTTTATTGTATAGTCAGTGTTAGAGTGTGTCTACGTGCGTTTTTTAATAGGTTGTAGTATACCGGTACTCTTCTGCTGATGACCACGAACCGAATGTTCTGCTCTGAATTTTTTTAATTTACGTTTTTTTAATGATTTTTTTAATGTTCTGAGCTTTAGTTTTTTCTTTTCGATGATAATGATAATTCTGTTTTATTTGTAGTTTTGGTTGATCTTTTTTGTTTTTATTTATTTAGTTATTTTTTTTTTTGGGGTGCGGTACCAATGTTTGCTGCTGCCGCTTTTGATTTAATTTCAATTGTTAAATGGAAGCAGCATACCCAACATACCTTTTTATTTGCATTTCATTTATTTATTTAATGTTTTGCTTCTTTTTGTTTCTTTTGCGTAAATAAATTATGAACCCGTTCATTGCCCATATGTTTGTATGATTTAAGTTTAAAATTTTCTTGTTCAGATTTGTTGTGTTTTCATCGTTATAATTTCATGTACATAGGTATTTAAAAAATAAATACTATTGCTGACAAAAATCTTTGATAAATTACTTCAATTTGACCGTTATAAATGTACTAAACACTGAGAAATCGGCAAGTGATAAAACAGTAGAAGAGATTTTACTGAATATTTGATCATTTGGAGCGTTCGATTCATACTTTTAAATATTATAGATATGTATATACAGTGTCTCACATATGTATTCGAATTTAATATACTATGAAAACAAACATCATTTTATAATAGATTTTGTGGGAAAATAAATAAATAAATTTATTTTGTTGTTTAGGCAGTCCTTAAATTTTATATCACATCTTTAAAATTTTTAAAAAATAATTTACTTAAACTAATTTAGCCTTTTCTTAAAATACTTTTGTGAAGCATAAAATAGCTTCACAAAAGTATTCTAATTGTTTGTATACATCATTTTAGCGTTATGAAGTAAAAATAAATAATTAAAATTAAATTAATATTTTATATGGTAAAACCAATAGAGCGGTTTTGGAGGATACTAAGTGATTTAAAAGTTGTTCTTGTATATAACCGCAAATTTTCAATGCAGTTTAAGTCCAGGCGAGTTAACGCCATTAAAAATTTGGTGAAAGAAAAATACTATGTGTTGTAAATGATCCCCATTTTTTACGTACCAGGCTGTATGTTTTAGATCGTTTTTCTGTTGAAAAATAAATTGATTGGGTTGTAGCTCCATTTTGGTGGTACTGGCATGCAAATTCTGCCCTAAAACTGACAAATAGACCTTCTAGTCTATAATTACACTAATAAATTTTAGCAGTACAACACCGTGGGCGGACACACAACCCCAAACTATGACAGAGCAACTTGGGTCCTTTACAGTTGGTTTTAAGGTAGATAATTCCAAGGCTTCTCCAAGCTTTCGCCATACCATTTGAGCCAATTCCAATGTCCAGAATCCAATGTCAAGACACTTACCATCGATTACCTTCGATATGAGCGGTTTCTTCCCTGGTACTTGATAATGTAAATTATTGCACAATTTTGTCACTATTTTGTATTCACAGGACTGTCCTGAGTTCGTTGTTAATTTTTGGAGCTGATAGATGAAGGTTCATTCGGTATTTACTCAGTATTTCACTTTCATCCTGTATAGACAGCAGTTTTGGACGACTTGATAATGGTAAATACTCTATGGAATTCTTTGTTCCATACGTGCAATGACAACATATATTGTCAACGGGAATCTATCAAACATTCCCGATATGTATTTAATTGATCGGCCTTGATTATAGAGATATAAATTTATTCAACTCTTTTGCTTTGAAAATTTTAAGCACTTACACAGGAAGGATTTACAACATAATTATGCAATTTTCCAAAAAAAATATTAAATATTCCATATAACTAAAACCTCCATAATAGATTAATTAATGGGCAATAAAACACGTGTCAAAGAATTTCAAAAAAGTTCTCAGAAAAAATTCGAATACTTTTGCGAAATAACTGAATTGGCCTTTTTTGTTTTTTTTTTTTCATTTCTTGGAAACCATGAAGCAGTTTATTACTTTTTTCTTGTATTTCGTAAATATAATAAAACATTAATAAAATTTCATTCACAAAATGTAAATATTATTATACATATTTTTAATGTAGCATCATAAAATAGAACAGTAATTCATAAAAATGAGACACTGTATATATTTCGAGTTAAAAATGTTTGTCAGTTCAAAGTTAAACATTCTTAATAAGTACCCCGTCTAGACTCTACTTTTTTAATTTTTAATAACAGATACATAGTTATCAGGAGATAAGTTTAAATTTAATATCGTTTTGTAAGAGAACATCATTCGTATACTCTCCTAGAGCTTGATCATATAGGTGATACCAGGCCTTTAAAGGGAAGGGA